TGACAGCTTCGAACATCTGCTTCTCATCTCCGAATTCCTCACACTTGTGGGCTAGTTCTTCGAACTTCGCGAAGAACTCGATTGCCATCTTAAAGTCTGCTTGTTGGAGCTTCCTCCATTCTTGCTTCCATATAGCTATCTCCGCCACTTCTCGGAATCTCGTTGTGAGATCCTCAGTGAATTTGAACCATGATGGCAGTCTCCAGTGCCCCCGTTCATCGTGATATCGATAATACTGGTCGTTCCACCACTTCTGCGCTTTCCCTCGTAGATAGGACTGGGCAAAGGTGATCCGATAAGGATTCTGCCCAGCTGCATTGAGAGTGTAATACATTGAGAATACCTGGAAGTAAAGCTCGCAGTGATGGAGGTAGCGAGTGATGTCCGAGGATTCCCCGGTGAAGTATTCTGGCTGCATAATCAGCTTTGGTTTCACGTTGTTCCAGGGGTTGTTTGTAGCCCCGGGGGGTAGCTGCCATGCTGGCAGTGTGCCAGGCAGTGAGGGTGGTACTGGCAGGATTGGTGGATTGGGTGGCCTTGGCAACAACCTGAGTTTCGGGTTGTGTCCTGGAGATGGATATCCTCCAGGCTTTGGTGGTACTGGGGGTGGCAGTCCTGCTGGTGATTTCTTTGGTGGCGGGGGGACCATGGATCCCTTCCCTTTGTTGACATTTGACGGTCCAGCCCCTTCATCCTCTGCCCATCCTTGGTCAGTGCCTCCACCTCCTGCCATGAATTTCATGGTGTCCAGCGGGTGGGGCATGGGTGCGGGTCAGCGATAGGCCGCACACCCGGGTTGTTGATCTTCCAGATTGCACATGTTCCAGACTATCGCAGCTCTATGCCAGGCGTCTACCTCGAGGATGTTCCTCATCAGGTAGAGGTCTCCCGCATGCCTGGCATCGATATAGTCTTCCCCTGCTTCAGTGATAAGCCACTGGGGGTCCTGCACCATGTTTTCCGCCATTATCTCGTATAGCACCTCCCATTCTAAAAACACCAGCACCACCAGTGAAGAGGCTCTGTGCGTGCCAAGCTAGAAATGCACTAGTGTATATAACACTAACACACCCACACTCACACTCACACACACACAAACCCTCAGTAGTTCAGGGGTGATGTGCAATACAAGCACACAATAGCAGTAGTATTGAAAGAATCCTTGCACGTTACAATATAATATAGCGTGCTTAGCAATATAATAATCTTCTAAGTCCAAATGCTTTTGGAACAGGAGGTGAGCGACAGAATCGCTTGGCCTCAAGGCAAAAGTATTATTTCGCAAGCCCCCAAATGTTCTACAAGACCGTATAACCCTCAAAATATGTCGTGCGCAACACACAAGTGTCCACAATGTTTCACAATTCACTTGACACGACTTAAAGCCTTGCGCTCCAAGCAGAAAACACTTCAAAACTCATTCGTAGATCCACAGGGTTCTAACCTATGCGATCCAGAGATACACAAACACAGAAAACATGTCCACAAGCCACAGGGTTTGAACCTATGCCACTTGGGAATAAACTAAAAAAACCTCAGAGATTACTGACAAGCCAAAGGGTTCAAACCTCTGCCACTTGCAATAACTCGGAATTCACAAACAAATTCCAAAAACACAAATGCACATTCAAGTTATCACAATACAATATTCTCTAAGTAGAGCGCAATCAATTACTGTACTTTACTTGAACAAATCAAGCGTGCTCGAGCAAGGCATGCCTCGCGAGCTCTCAAAGTGTTCAAAATAATTCTAAGTTCAATAATATTCTCTCACTCGAAGCTTCAAATAAAATCCTTTCATCGTACACTAAGTGTGCTGCTTTGTAGTACAACTGCAGAGGTCTGAAAACTTGCTAACTACCTGTAACTACCGCTCTTATATTTACCGTTAACTATATGAAATGTAAATACTGAAAATAGACAATGCTCCACCTCAGACTCCCTTCTCTTGCATGCTGCGTCAGCCATAGTGATAGTAATCATTATTTTACTCAGCACTCCATGTCGGCGCGCGTGCTACCACTGTTTTCTCCACTTGGCAAGGCCTAGCCTTGTCGTGCCATGTGGCATGTGTCTTCTTATTGGCTCCGCAGATTTAATTACAGTGCCACGCAACTTATCTAGTGAGTGAGTTTTATTTTATTGGTTGCTGCGCAACCATTTCTAGTTTAATATTTCATATGGGCAGCGGGTTTTATTTCTCTCCGGCTGAGAACTCCTTAGAGTATTCGGACTTGTTGATTCTTCGTTCAGGATGACGTTTCTCGGTGATTGCCGGATCAGCAGGGTTTGCATGTCATAGATCAATGTAGCACGAAGCACCTTCAATATATTATCTTCAGTGAATTTAATTGAGTGATACACTGCAGAGGAGGGCACAGTGTGTGTGTATAAGCACTGAGACTGCACACTTAAATGACACAAGTGTGCCACTCTAAGTCTAAGCCATGCGCTCTACTCATATTATTTTTATTATAGTGCTTTCTGCCTCAGTGTGTAGTGCTCTATGCCTTACATGCACTCTAATATATTCACGGGGCACACACATGTTTGCATTGCTAGAATTCATAAAATTACATGTGTGAACGTGTTGCATGTGTGTCACCAGTACGGTTTGGACTGATCTAGTGAGAACCACCCTCACCTGTCTCATTACTTCCCCCGTGATGGTGGAATTGGGTGGTCTCCTCGGCATCCCACTGCCTGCTTGCTCGCGTTGACCACGTCGCTCCTCCACGCCCTCGTTGTCGCCTCTCTCTGAGATCACATCTCCTCCTCCACTCGGCGAGGTCAGAACAATCCTCGTCGAAGACCTCGTCGAGGAAGCGATGTCTGGCTTCCTCACAGTATACGTCATCGGCCGTTCTTCATAGGGTCTCTCGGAATTGAAGCTCTGCTGCTCCAATTCTTCGATGGGCCTCGTCATCCATGGCGTCTGGCTCGAGGGGGAGGTCCTCAAGGTCTCATATGGCGCGACGCTCTGCATTTCTGGTGCATGCACTGTTCATTCTCGCTCGGTCCATTCGGGCCGCTCCTTCTGGGGTGACCCGGTGAAGAGGCTGGCTGTGGGCACCTGTGGAATAGTGAGCGGGCTAAAAGGCAAACCTCAAAAACCCACACACACACTCACACAACTACACAAACTACAATCACCCTCGTAAGTTCTAGGGGGAGCGATTATTTCTAATGCGATCCAACTATACTTCAATATCTCGAAGAGTTTCTCTTATTCTCAGCGCTCTTAGCGAAGCTAAGCTTTCTCTAATGACTTCCTAAGTCTAGGAACTTTTTACAGGAAGGTCGTTCACTGGCGCGACGCAACCTTCAAGGCAGATTTGAGTTATAATACACAAGGGACACTGATCCCAACAGAAACAGAGATGATACACATTGAAACAATAGTGAGCTTACTAAAAGAACACCACAGACAAGCACTGACTTAGCCCGCTCGCTACACAACTGTATGTAGGGGTTCTCCAACTAACTCCAGCAGGTTATCTCGACTCAAGAACACTTCAGAAGTGCTCGGAAAACAGATTCAGAAACGGAACTTCGAACAGAACTGACACAGAACAGACTGAAACAGAACAGAACAGAACAGAACAGAACAGAACTCAGATTTCCACTTCAACACATTCTCCGAACAGACTTAACACACTTAACAGAACAGAAACAGCGTCACTGATTCGTATTCACTCTGACTAAGTTCTCAAAAGTCTTATCAAAAGGGTATCTTGTATTTCTCTGAGTGAGCTCGCTAATTCTACGCACAGCTCGAAGTCACAAACTGATCCTTTGTTACAGTACCGCCTTCAACGCGTGCACGGGAACTCGGGGGCTCGAAACCTAGCCTCTACCTACTGTAACCAGTCTACTTATACTACAGGGGAATTAGAATTACAAACGTCGCGCAGTACCCAGACTCCTACATGCATAGCACGTTGCCACCGCTGCCTTACTGAGCATCCGAGTCGGACTTCCCAGTTTTAGTCTCATTTCTATAGTGAGCTCGCTAAACGCGTGCCAAGAGGTGCTCCCCCGACACCCGCGGGCTCGTTCTCTAGCGACCGACAGGTCTAGGCGCACGAAACTATCAGTTCTGGCATATGTCGTTCAGGACTTCTTTCTTGGATTCACAGAGGCTTCTCATAGACACAGCAACAAGTGAGTCTTCGAACAATGGGACTCAGAACAATGGAACGCGGGCTCGCGGACTTCGGCTGAAGCCCATTGCCCAAGCTTGTGCCGGTGATATCTGTCAGCTCGCTTAAGGATTTCCCTGGATTTTCAGGTACGGCGTGTCACAGTTAGCGAGCGCGCTAAGTGTTCTCAGTGCCAGTGCAATCTTCAAGGTTTTATCTAGCTCCCGTGAGTGTGCCTGTAAGTTAGAGCCTAAGGCATTGGGTATAGGGTTTGGCCTTCTCATCACGCATGCCCGTCAGGTACAGTGCTGTGACTAAGTCCTGTTTAGAATCCTGTTGCTTCTTATGCCATAAGTTTTATTCCATATCATTGCACCGCGTAGCATTAGTGTCGACGCGTAGTTTTAGTCTGCTCGCTCACTATTTCTCAGTATGCGTGTAAAACACTCTAGATTGCAAAATTACACGCGTAAATAGGCTGCAGTCGCAACATATCCCCCCCACTAAAGTCCTGACCGTCCTCGGTCATCGCATTGTGGGTCCGCATGTTCTCTTTCCTTTCCATGTGCTCCGAATTCGAAGGCACAGGTTCCGGGTACATCAATGTTCATAGAAGTTCTCATGTGAGTGCTTCTTTTCTTATTAGAAGGTCGGGGACCAGAGAGCTCACTAAATAAAAGTTAAGTCCCTCCAGTTTGCTTTCCCACCTTTCTACTCTTTTCACCCACTTTCCTAGTGAGCTTGCTCTCTGTCTTCTCTTCTACGGTTTCTGTCGCCGTCGTTCAACTCAGTACGTGTTCTAACGCGTGCTGTCACCGTTGGCTGACGCTTCTCTTTGGTTTCAGAAGTCCCTTCAACATGTCCAGTCTTACTCCAGCCATTGCCGCCCTTCCCGACCTCTCGCCGTCACCCGAGGAGCGTATCCGCTACCGGTACTTTGTGCGTTTCAACCCGCGCGAGTACTACTATGTGTATCGTCGAGTGACTGCCCTTTTCGTGCCTGTTTATCACCACCGCAGGGCGCATACTCCGGAAACTCTCTCTGAGATGTTTCACAAGATTTTCAATCTCTTGGTGCGTATTCCTCTGGCTCTCTTTCTCCCGCTCGCTCATTTCCACTGCTGTTAGTTTCCCAACATGCGTCGCCTTCGCGACCAGCGCCTTATCGATTCTAGAATTGGGGCCTACATCCGCGGCTTTCTCACTCGCTGGCACGACACTCTGCCTCCCAGGCTTAGAGTCCTGGGTTGGAACCAGCTCATCGCTCGTGTCCCCGCTGAGACACGGCCTTCTCATGTGAGCCTCACTTTTCCTCTTATCCCTGCCCATTTAATTCATGGTTCTATAGGGCCTACTGCGCCTAACAGTCGGGTTACCCTTCCCTGGTGAACCCGGCTTTGTTATGACGTCTCCGCCCCTACCTCTCGTTCACTATCTCCTGCAATGGGAGGTTTTGGAATCTGAGGACATTCTTCGTACCCCACTGATCGACGAAGAGGCCTTCCCGGGTGTCATTTTTCCGTGGTACCCGACTCCTCTCCCAGATGATGTTGATGAGCTCGCTTCCGAGCGGGGGTCCCCTATTCCTCAGCCTCGTCGCCGCCGTGGTGCCCAACCCAGTGCACCCGTGACTTCAAATTTTAGCCCGCTCTCTAATGGGCAGACCCTTACTCTGGCGCTGGCGCTCCCTTTTTCCCCTCATCCGGCTGGTCCTCCTGCTGGGCCTTCAACCCCGGCTCCTCCTCGTACTCCTGCGCCTTGCCTTCCTTCGACCCCAGCACCTCCACCTTATCGGCCTTCCGCGCCTCCGCCGTCGCGTCCTCCCCCAGCTTTTGAGTCTCAGCCTCCTGCTGTGCGTCACGGTCGCCACCACTTGGCGGCCTCTATTCACGACCTGCAGCAGACGTTGAGGGTTCCAGCCTCAACTCCCGGGAATGCTCTGCCTTCAGCTGCGACTTTCCTCGATCTCAACCGTCGGGTGTAAGTCTTCTTTCCTTTGGTTGTTCCTCTTCACTTTTCTAACAGCTTTTCATCCTCCAGTACTGCCAGTCTTCCAGTGCCGCCTACTCCGCCGAGTAAGTGGCTGGATGTCCTAGCCTAACTTAGCGAGCTCGCTAACTCAGGCTCTCCTCCTTCTAGCTCCTGACCCTAGGCGTCGACCTCAACCTCAGAGTGTGAGTTCTTCTCCTCATCCTCTGTCTCCGGTCGCTTACTCCTTTTATTTCCAGCCGCTACCCCCGGACTCAAGACTTCCTCAGCCCAGGGTGAGTAGACTCCGTATTCTGTGCTAGTTCTCTTGCCAGTTACTCACGGTCGCCATTCAGTTCTCATCGTTTTCTACCCCCGTGCGCCCTGCTCCGCATACTGTGACGTCGGGCCGTACTTCTCAATGCCGGCCCCGCGCTCAAGTGAGCCCTCCCCTGCCTCCGGTTGTTGGAGATGGGGAGTTTTCCGCAGTGCCCATCCCTTCTGCTTTAAGGGGGACCGATTCTACCCTGCGGCCCCAAGAGCCGTTATTCTTCCCAAGTTCTGAGGAGGACGATGGTCATCGTCCTCCTTCTCAGTCCCCTCCGCCTCCGTCTGACTTTGGTGGCGCTGGCGATCTCTTTGACGATATTCCTGTCATCGAGGGAGCTCGGGCACCTTCGCCCGAGCTTGTTTATGATGCTGTTTCTGGCGACCTCGTCACCGATCACGACTTCGACGTGGGATCTCCTGTTGTGGAGGTTCCCAAACGCACTACTCGTAGCAAGGGCAAAGGGAAAGCCGGTGCCTCTCCTTCCAAGAGGAAAAAGCCTGTCCGGAAGACCAAGGCTCCACCAGCAACTCCTCCTCAGGCTGAGGAGTCCGTTCGTTCTCCTCCCCCTTTCTTGCGTATTCGTACGTCTACTCTCTGCCGTACCATCGCCTCTCCGAGCCCTGTGCCTGCGGCTGGGCCCTCTCGTCTAACCAAGCGCAAGAAGCAGCCCAAGGCTGCTAGAGCTTCGACTCCGCCGGTGGAAATTTCTCCTCCTCATGCCCCTCTGACCCGCTCACGCGCCGCTGCTACCAGGGCAGCCATTCTTCCTCCTATCGTCGAGCTCCCTGAGGAGTCTGGATCGGGCTCCGATGATGATGCGCCTCCCACGAAGAAACGCAGGATTTCCGACGCCAAGCAAGAGGAGAAGAAGCAGGTCTCACGCGAAAAGGGGAAGGCCAAAAAGCGAGCTCGCAAACCCGATGCCCGTTATACGCTTAGCGAGCCTGGTGCTGGGTCCGGGGTTGCTATCGGCCGTCACTCTACTAGCCGCTCGGAGCTCGAAGCCTTAACCTTCGAGGATATTCGCGAGGGCCCCGCTGCCTTCTTCAAGTGAGTTTCTTTCTCCGCTTCTGTCTTCTCTACATTATCTCAATCGTCATGTATCCTAGGCCTGTCCGGTACGGTGACAAGAACGGCACCTTTGGTGCACGCTCGGATCCCTTTCCTTATTTCGCGCGGGCTCCCAATGTGAGTGAGCTTGCTTGCTTCGCCTACTTTTCTCTGACTCTCCCTTTTTCTTTTCAAGGTTTCTGGCGATTGCATTCCCTGCTCGACTAGGGATCTCAAATGTACCTGGACGAACCAATTCCCAGGTGCATCCTGTGATCAGTGCACCCGTAGTCACCACGGCAGGTGTTCCGCTCGATACACCGCTCAAGAAATGAACAAGGTATCTTCTAAGCTCTCCAAGTACACGAGATACAACGTCGGTTGTATGTATTTCTTTCTTATTCCTCCTCTTCTTAGTCCGCTCACTAACTTTTGGCACCACAGTGATGGAGTCTGATCTCAAGGAGCTCCACGCGCTAAACCACGACCTGGAGCACCTCGACGTGCTCATGTGACGCAACTTCCTGAGGCATGACCGCCTGATCCGGCAGCTTGCTGACTCTCTTGACCAAATCGCTGGCCATGAGAACGGTAATGCCATCATCGAAGGTCTGGCTTCTGCCTACGAGGAAGTCTCTAGCTTCGTCATCGATGATGGTATCCGTCGCTCCCTTGGTCATCCTCTTAACTTGCCAAAGCCTGGCGAGTCCTCTCATTCTGCGGCTGGTTCTAAATCGAAGTCTCCTGCCAAGGGTGACGAGTCCGAGGCGGATTTAGATCCTAACGGCTCTTCTGCTAGCAGCAGTGGTAGCAGCAGCTCCAGTGATTGATATCCTTGTAGTGTATCTTGTGGGCGGACTTTCTATGTATCTCCTGTAATATCTCCTTTTTGTCTTTTTGTTATCTTCTTGCAGCCCTTAAGGCTTTTTATCCAAAATTTCTTGCTGCTCTTTGTCCTGATTCTCATGTGCAATCTTAGAAGGCAGTAGTAGGATAGGCATAGGAATCCTGCTGGTAGAGCAACATGGCTCAACTTAGAACAGATTCGATTCGATTCTCGCCTGTAGCGATCAGACAAGACTTCCGATATAGAGTAAAAAGACCTGAAGTAAAGAAATTACACTCTTACACCACTGCCACGGAAGACGATCAGGCGGTGATTCGGTGATGTCATCACCTATGTGGCCCTGCATCAGAACTCTAAGTCCCTGATTTGCATTGATGCCATATCCGTTCGCATCTTGGCGAGCGAGTGAGCTACTTTCTTCGGGCTTGTGTGGTTTCTCTGTCTTTTTCGGCGTCTGTCATCTGTCTTGTCTTTAGAGTTTTGTTTTCTGGATACCAAAACTCTTTGTTCGTTCTTTCATTCCTGTCCATTTTGGCACTGGTCTTTCAGTCAGTCGCCGTTTCTGCGGACTTGTTTCCATCCTTATTTCAAATATTTGACATCTTCGCCTAAGTGGCTGCTTTTTCGCGCGCCAATATCTCTTTGGTGTTGTTCGTAGAATCGAAAATTTATGTCCTAATTCCACATAATATTAAAGGTATACTGTGTATACCACTATATCCCCCACACTAAAAGACATTGACTGTCCTCAGTCACTAATCTCTTCAAGACCGACTCTAAACTTCACCTATCAACCCAATTTCAAATCTATCAAAGCCCATTGTACTTCAATTTTCATTGTTCGCTCGGGCTTTGCTAGGTTGTGAAGTTCTCTCTAAGTCACGATTTGTCGGGATTAAATTTTTAATTTTTCCGTCTGTGGCTGCTGCGAGTACTGGTATAAAAGCGAGGCCAGTCTACCGACAATTTTCATCTCAACAACTCGTTTTCTCAAACAGTACTCATGCTTTTCTCTGCATTTTTCAGCCCAAACACCCTCATCTCTTACTATGTCTTCGACTGCTGCTCCTGCTATGCCCTTTGTCGCTGTGAAGGCCGTCATTACTCAGCTCTGCCAGAACCTTAGCGTTACTGCTGCTGAGAAAATGGGCCAGCTCCAGGAGTACACCGTAAGTTTTAGTGAGCTCACTAATTTTTGTGACGTTTCTGACCTGATTTTGTCAGGATCACCTCGAGCATCACAAGGAGGAGCTCATCAAGGACAAGGAGTTCCGCGAGACTATCTTCAAGGCCCGGAGCGTGATCGAGAAGAAGTTTCATACTAACGCCTCCAAGCAACCCATTCACAAGGTCCTCAAGACCATCACTGGTTGGGTGCAGACGGAGCGTCAGTCGGTAGAGGCTTCTCCTGCTGCTCCTATCCCTACGGGTCCTCGTCGCGAAGTGAGTTCTCTATTTCTCCTGCTTCCATCCGTATTTAACTGCTTCTTTCCAGTCGAACTCCGCTCCTCGCAGCAAGGGCAGGTCCCGCGCAGCTAAAAGTCTGCTGCCATCGTCGACACCGATTCTGATGATGACGATGGTGACGACAAGGTAGCTGAAGCTTCTGATTCTGATGAAGACTCTGTTAAAGTACGGTTTCTCTAGATCTCGCGTTCTCTTATAAGCGCGCTCACTAATGGCCTTTTTAAGATGGTCATTGACGACGACAATTCCAAGTCGGCCGCTGCCAAGCTTCCCAAGTTCTCCAAGGGCAAGGCGAGTGAAGCTTCAGCTGGTGAGAAGCGTAAGGAGCCTTCTAAGGTGGGTAATTTCGCTTATATTCGATATCCCCCACACTAAAAGCTTTCCATTCTAGGAGGAACCTTCTGCCTGCTTCCATTGCAGCGGAAACGATCATTCCCTCCTCGACTGCACTGCCCCAGGCGCCGTGAGTCATTATCTTTAGTGAGCTCACTAATTCTCTCACTAATCCTCAATTTCCCTAGGCTTCTTTGGCCAAACGGTACTACAAGGACAGCGATCGCGAGTCCAAACGTTCTCGGCACGCCTTCCCATTGCCATCTGCAAGGGAGTACTACCCCTCTAAGGGGTCCGACAAACGTCGGTCGGCCTCTGTTCTCGGTCTCGTCAGTACTGGTGCGTCTCTTTTCCTTCTCAATGCTTTATTCCTCTTCTGATCCGAGTTTTTCAGCTGCCGGTGAAGCCGGAAGCAACACCCTTAACGAGGCTCTTCGCTCGGCTCAGCAAGGGTCGTCCGTGGGGTGCTCTCCGCGTCGAGTCCCTGGATCACCTGGCCCGGCTTGAGAGCGCTGTCATGGGGGACCTAGTTGTTATCCAGCACACTATTTTCGCTGCTGAGAAACAACGGTCCTTCCTCCTTAGTGAGCTCTCTGGGATTCAGGACGCTTTAGCGGCTCCTCCCAAGGAGACTGCTTCGGCGAGCCCCTCTTCTTCGGATGCTGAGCGCGGCCCTGCTGCCCCTACCTCAGTGAGCTTGGACCCGGCGGCGCTCTAGTTCGTGGTTCGTATCTTTGGTCCCAACCCGGCAGATGGCAACTGGTTCACGGCGCATTATTACTCGTATTTTCTCTCTCTTCCTGTTTCTATGCGTAGTATATTGTTCTTTCTTGTGTATATCGTAGTTATACACTTTGTATCCTTCCTACTTGCAATCACAGGCCTGCAGAAGGCGTTTTCTGCTCATCTTCTTAGCGAGCTCGCTAAACTTAAATATCTAAGTCGATCTCTTTTGACACTTTAAGATGCTCTGTCTCTGGATAATCATCTGTGAAGTTCGCTGGGACCTTATCCTTAGGTTCCGGCGATTCTATCAAGTTTTCTAACTCTGCATGTGTCATATCCATGAGCTTCAATACCCCCTCACCCAGATCAATTGATTTCCTGGCTAAGTAGGGCACTACTCTGAAAGCGGCGACCTTAGTACGTAGAATCGACCCGTCTAACTCTGCTAGAATGTAATTGCCAACCTTGGTGCGATGTACGACTACCAAAGGTCCCAAATATCGAGGTTTCATTTTCGTGTTTAGTGAGCTCTCTATTTGACTGTTTCGCATCAGTACCAGATCGCCGCACTTAAACTTGAATTCCTTGATTTTGTTGGCATTCATCTTAGTGTATTTCAATGTCATTTCTCGTTTAGCGGTATCCATGTCTCTTCTCATTTTTGCAACTCGATCCGCGTGCTTCTCTAGTGCGATAGCCCTTAGCCCGCGGAGCTCCCAGTCTTCTATGATTTCGTCCAGGGTACTCCACCAGCCAAGTAGCTTCTAACACATCTAATGGCAGGATCGGATGAGCGCCTGTTACCGCAAAGAATGGGGCACACCCCATCCTTTTTCTTACTGTGATGCGATCGGCCCACATTACCAGAATAAAGTAATGATGCCAGTGTTTCTCATTACCACCACAGGCCTTGTACAGGGCCTGTCTCACGTCCCAGTGCGGTCTCTCAATCCTTCCGTTCGCTTGGGAGTTGTAAGGCGCTATCAAGATACCTTTAATCCCGTACTTGTGTTTCTAAGTACTTTACAGCAGCTTTAAATGGCTTACCATTATCCGTCACGATGAGGGACAAGCACCCCCACCTACAGATAATGTCCTCAAATAGCCATTCTCCTATAGCTTGCGCTGATTCGCTTGCCAAGGTACGTCCTTCCATCCAACTAGTGAGCGCGCAATGACCGTGGACTATATATTTATGTCCGTTCGAGGCCTGAGGCATGTGCATCGTATCTGCATGCAACACCTGAAATATCGAAGGTGTAAACGTTACGGTAGGCAGTGCTTTGATCACTGTCTTCTGGCGTTCTTGACATATGGCAGGTACTCACGTACCACGCGATATCTCGTTCCATCTCGGGCCACCAGAATCTTCCTTAATTAGCATTTTTGTAGCGTAGATGCCGCGGTGACCCAACTGGTCATGCGCAACCTTCATAATGTACATCCACCGTTCAGGATAGATCACTAGCTTGTGCTCGTTCTCCATATCTCTTCTGTAAAGCTTCCCTCTCTACCACGAAGTTCTTAGTAGCGAATGAAATTTCGATACTGGTTGTCCGTAAATCCTTCCAGACGCTGGGTGGGATTCGCGTGCCAAGCCACTACTTGAGTGAGCTCTCTATCGAGCATCTTAGCATACCCGCTCCGGCGTTCCTCCGGATAATCTCCAGCTTCCATGAACTCCTCTGCATCTGGTAGGAACACTCCTTTGTTGTCGTACCGCAAATACTTCAGCAGTGTCCAGGGCTTCTTTAATAATTTTCTCCTCATGAAAATCATGTACCGCTCGCTCAATGGTAACATATCCATGTCTCGTGTCAATTCCATCTTTGAAATCCGCAATGTCTGGGATGGGCTCCTCAGTATCATTCACGAATTCCAACTCATCCCCCTCTACCGGTTCGTACTCGTCCTCCGGATTTGAATACTCCTCATCCCCTGGTTGGAAACTCCGTCTCGAGAGACCATCTGGGGCATGCCGCTCGCCAGGGATATGTACCAACGTAAAGTGGAACATCAAGATTGATTCGATCCACCTGTTAATAGCCGCATTAGGGACTTCATCTGGGTTCCTAAGCATTCCTGCGATGTATTTCGCATCCGTTTCCACTACTAACTTGCGACAGCCGAAGAGCCAATGTCGGCAAGCGTGTAGTGCCCGGAATAATCCATAGAGCTCTCTCTTTGGTTGAGAGAAACGAGCTTCGCGCTCATTAAGTACGATCGACCCGAACCTGGCGTATCTCCTCCGTTTGGGATTGTCAGGATCGACTTGACAAATGTAGAATCCCACTGCTTTGAACGACGTATCGACGCCCAATATCACATCTGTATCCAGTTCATAATCGAGGGGCATTAGCGAGGGGCAGTTCTCCAGTGCATCTTTCAACTTCTGCATGGATGCTTGCTGCTCCTCCCCAAAGACGAAGGGTACTTTCAATCTCGTGAGCTTGGTTA